ACTGCACTCCAGTCTGGGTGACAGAGTGAGACTCCAACTCAAAAAAAAAAAAAAAGAGGTCTAAGCTGGGCACAGCGGCTCACACCTACAAGCCCAGCACTTTGGGAGACAGAGGCGAAAGGACTGCCTGAAGCTCAGGGGTTCGAGACCAACCTCGGCAACTTGAAAGAGACCTTATCTCTACAATAAATAAAGTAGCTGGCTGTGGTGGCATGTGCCTGTGGTTCCAGCTACTTGGAAGGCTCACCTGAGCCCAGTAGGTGGAGGCCGTAGTGGCTGTGAGAGTGTCACTGCATTCCGTGCTGGGCAAGTGAGATGCCAACTCAAAGAAAAATGAAAAAATAAAAATAAAATGAAAAACGAGGTCTAGACTAGTGATGTGAAAATTGTGAACTCACAAGCATCAAGGTGGGGGAATTTGGGAGTTCAAAGCCATGCGAGGGAAGAGCTCAAGGACTTGGGTGCAGGGTGAGGAGGGGCCTCCAGAGAGGCCGGGGCAGGAGGCCAGCCAGGAAGACTGGGGAGGGGGGGAGGCAGGAGGTGGGAGGCGCAGGGGTCGGGAGAGAGGCCTTGTGGGGTAGTCACGCTGCGCGGGGAGGGGGACAGAGAACCATCCTGTCCTCTGGGAGTGGCAAAGCAGAGGCCACTGGGGCTTGAACACGTGGGGAGGGTAAGGCTGGGGGCTGGCTGCGACGGGGGGCAGGAGGGGCATGGAAAGCGAGTGAGGAAGGTTCTGGAGCCTGCGACGCTGGCAGGAAGGACCGAGTGCTTTGGGAGATGGGAGTCCGTGGAGCCTGACTGTGTGCCCAGAGACGAGGGGGAGCCATCCCTGAAAGGGCCCTGTCACAGGGAGGCTCTGATGTGGGCAGAGCGGGGTGGCAGGCAGGGCAACGAGGCTGGGCCGGGAGGTCTGTGCCGAGGAAAACGTGCTGACCGGACGGAAAGTGAAACAGAGGCACAGAGGGAGGGGCCTACCCCTTCCACACCCACTCATGTGACAGCAGATGACGACAGCTCCGGCCTCAAGAGGCCTCCAGGGCAGGAGGGGAGGGCGCAGGCTGCTTGTGCAGAGCTGGGAACAGCTGCCCCACCTGCGGCTGCCGTGCCACCTGGCGTGAAACTGCAGACCAGGCCAGGAATGTGCCAGGGCGGCTCCAGGTCAGCAGACAGCCGCTCATGTCGCCAGACCCTGGGGTCTTCGACATCCTCCCCAGCCAGCCTGGAGCCTCCACCTGTCTGGAGCCCTTGGGCACTGGACCCAGCCTTCCCACCCCAGTGCAGGCCCCGCCTGCCCTACCTGCTTGGAGTAGACCCTGAGGAGCTTGTTGACGGGCGTTCCCTCGCTGTCCCCGTCGAACTCCAGCCACAGGACGGGCTCCTCCTCCTCGGGGGAGGAGTGGTCCCACGACAGCTCCTGGAAACGCAGGCCCAGCAGCACATGCTGGCCGGCGGGAGGCACAGAGCGAGGCTTGGACCCTGCGCAGGGCCGGCTCCCACGCTGCCCACTCGAGCACCCCCGGGATGGGACACCTGGTCAGGGCGTTTGCCTCTCCAACAGTCTCATGTGGCACACGTGTCTCTCAGGAGAGGAGTCCCAGCTTTCACAAGGCCCTCACAGGGCTGTGGTCCAGGGAGGCCAAGAACCCCAATCCCACAACATGGCCCCAGCGGGCCAACGTGAGCAGCTGGGGGGTCGCATGGGGGACGAGGCAGGTGGGAGGAGTCTCTTGTCAACTGGGTGACATCTTGCAGGAGGCGGGGCCCAGCTGCCCAGGAAGGGCTGAGGGCCCTCTTTGGAGAGAGCCAGAATTTGCCCAAAACTGTTCTGCTGGCTTAGGAAGGGACTGCTGACCAGGCAGGGAAGCTATCCCCCAGGGCTGGCTGCTGACACCACTTTCTCTATTTTTTTTTTTTTTTTTTGAGTTGGGAGTCTCACTCTGCTGCCTAGGCTGGAGTACAGTGGCACGTCACAGTCACGGCCACCGCAGCCTCAATTTGCTGGGTTCAGGTGATCCTTCCACTTCAGTCTTCCAAGTAGGTAGAACTAAAGGTGCACACCACCAAGTCTGACTAATTTTTTGATTTACTGTGGAGATGAGGTCTCACCAAGTTGCCTAGGCTGGTCTAGAATCCGTGGGCTCAGGCGATCCTCTCACCTCTGCCTCCCAAAGTATAACAGGCGTGAGCCACCGTGCCTGGCCTGACACCACTTTCTACAGAGCCAGCCACCAAACGTGGGGCGAAGCTGACTTATCAGCCCAGGAGGGTTCCCATTCGTGGGATCTTTCTGGAAGACCAACCTGTTCCTCAGTCACTAGCCAGACAGAGCAGTCGGCCATTGCTGGACTCCCTCTACCCACAGACAGAACCTCCAGCTGCAGCCCTGGCCACCCTGCAACCACTGGGCAAAACACCCAGGGATACCTTCAGGAAAGCAGGGACCCCAAGAACATCAAGAGAGGCAGAGGTCCTCCCAGACAGTCCACTACTCTGCCCCCAGGCCATCTGCAGGCCCAGGGAACTAGGAAAGCCTGGTAAAAACCTCCATTCCCAGCCTTCCCCACCGGAGGGGCTGGGGGCAGTACCTTCTCCCGGCTGTCAATGACATGCACACCCTCCAGACTGATGGCCACAGTCACTGGCTTGCGCCCGCCCCGGTGAAGAAAGCCCTGGGCTGGCTTGTCAACTTCACCGTGGAAGAAGGCACAGCTGGGGAAAGAGGCCTGGTGTCAGCTTCCTCTTCCAGCACGGAAAATGTTGGGGGAGGGGAGAGCTGCCTTGGGCCCTGCCCGGGTGTCTGAGAAGCTAGAGGTGAAACCCACCCCAGGTGAGGGGGAAACTGAGAGGCGATGTGGCGGGGGTGGCATCTGAGCTGGTCGTGCAGGACAGGAGGGTTGGCCAGGCAGAAGGACGTGGGTGGCAGAGAAGGGTGGGTGCCGCAGACAGAGGGAAGTGCGTGGGCCTGGGCCTGGGGCAGGGTCAGTCACGTGCACTGGGCACTCGGGCTGGGGACGGGGCTGAGGCTGCTTAGGGTGGCCAGGGGAGCCTGCTGCTGCCCACTGTCAGGGGCAGAGACGCTTCTGCAGCAGGGGCCTGCTGGGCAGCACGAGGAGGTGAGGGCTGCCCGGGCGAGTGGTTTCAGGTTCCAAACTGAGAAGGGGAAGGGAACGAGGCAGGGCCTTGAGGGCCAACCCAGAACTGCCGCCTCTCCCTCCCTCTCCCTCCCACGGTTCTTCCCCCCCATTCAGCTCGCCCTGGCCCCTGCCCTCTGCTAAGCCACCTTTGGTTCCTAAGGGTGGTCCTGCTCCAGCCCCCTCTTCTGGAACATCTATCCCCAGGATCAGCTGATGACCAGAACCTCACCCGGCAAGGGAAGCATCTAGAGGAGAGCTGTCGGCCATCCGCCCATAAACTTGCACTCTGCTGGGCCATCTCTATGGCACATGCGCTGTCACCTAGCCCCTCAAAACCACTGAAGGACCCTCCGACCCCGCTTCAGATCAGTTGACCCCGCTGCGCCCACAACTGCTGCTCTATGTCTTGATTTCACCTTACGGCAAAGCTCCTGGAAAGAACTGGTCACACTCGCTGTGTCAGTGCCCTCCTCACCCTCTCCCTCGCCCACAGGCTGGAGTCAAGGTCAATCGCCAGCCATCAGGAGGACACAGCTGGACGTGACGCGAAGCTGCAGCAGGGATGCCCTCCTGCCTCACTGAAGGCCTGGGTCCTCTCCGGGCGTGACTGACGCTCACCTTTGGCCATCTCTCGGGGCTTTGGTTTCAACCACCATCCCCAGGCCGAGGATTCACCAGAACCGTCTCCAGTTCGACTCCTCTACAGAACTCTAGACTCAAAACCCAGTGGCCCCTCAGAATCCCCACCAGCAAGCATATCAAAACCAACATGTCCAAAACGAAGCACGCGACCTTTGCCCAACCACTCCATGGCCATTCCCCATCTCAGGGATGACAACTCCAGCCACCAGTTGCTCAGCCAGAAACCTGGAGTCCTCCCTGTCTCTCCCTCCTTCACCTCTTCCACTGCATATCCGTCTAGCAAGTTCTGTGACTGCACCTGCAGGACATCTCCTGAATCCAACCCTGCCTCTCCTCTCTGCTGTTACCCTGGGCCTGGGCCACGCTACCCTCCTCTGGTCTCCTGGCTATAGCCTGTGCCCACCTGGAGGCTTCCTCTACCTGTGTTCTTGTCTCTCTTCATGAGAACATCAGTCTCACCAGGCAGGAGATGTGGTGTCTTGGGCTCACTGAGGGACCTCCAGTGCCCAGAGAGTGCCTAGAGCACAGTAGGTGCTCAAGGGCTATGAGTTAGACGTTGACTGTGAAAGAGGGCCATTGACTGCTGGCTGAAGGGGAGGTTAGCTGGGCCAGTGCCCAAGTGACTATGGCAGGCAGAAAGCGAGGACCTGTCCAAGGCATCCTGGCCCATGCCAGGGGGAAAGGGACAGATGCCCAGCTTGGAATGGTGAGGCCTGAGGTGCTGGTGTCAAGACATCACGTCCCAAAGGACAGTTGGCTGGAGCAAAGATGGCTTCACCCACAGCAAGGCCCAAGGACAGTGTGCTGGGCAGCCAGAGGGTGAGGGGGGACCCCAGGGCTGTGGCTACTCACCCATAGAAGGGCAGCTCGTGGCACTTGAGCAGGTAGGCATGGTAGTGGGTGCCCAGGGAGGCCTCGTGCACGCTGTCGCTGCCAGACACTTCCTTCACCTGGCGGTAGGCATTCAGCAGGCCCTGCTCGCCTGGCCCGGCCCTGGCCCCACGGCCCCGGAGGGCGGCAAAGAGGCCCTGGCCCCGCTTACAGAGGTGAGCAGGCAGGAAGGAGTCCAGCTTCTCCCTGCAGAGAAAGGAAGATGAAAGCTAACGGCC